AGTGTATCAATTTTGTCGATCTTTTCAAAAAGCCAGCTCCCGGATTCATGAATTTTTTTGAAGGGTTTTTTGTGTCTCTATCTCCTTCTATTCTGCTTTGATCTTACTTATTTCTTGCTTTCTGCTAGCTTTGGAATGTGTTTGCTCTTGCCTCTCTAGTTCTTTTAATTGTGATATTGAAATGTTGATTTTAGATCTTTCCTGCTTTCTCTTGTGGGCATTTAGTGCTATAAATTTCCCTCTATACACTGCTTTAAATGTGTCCCAGAGATTCTGGTATGTTGTGTCTTTCTTCTCATTTGTTTCAAAGAACATCTTTATTTCTGCCTTCATTTCATTATGTACCCAGTAGTCATTTAGGAGCAGGTTGTTCAGTTTCCATGTAGTCGTGTGGTTTTGAGTGAGTTTCTTAATCCTGAGTTCTAATTTGATTGCACTGTGGTCTGAGAGACAGTTTGTTATAATTTCCATTCTTTTACATTTGTTGAGGAGTGCTTTACCTCCAACTATGTGGTCAATTTTGGAATAAGTGCGATGTGGTGCTGAAAAGAATGTATATTCTGCTGATTTGGGGTGGAGAGTTCTGTAGAAGTCTATTAGGTCTGCTTGGTGCAGAGCTGAGTTCAAGTCCTAGATATCCTTGTTAACTTTCTGTCTTGTTGATCTGTCTAATGTTGACAGTGGGGTGTTAAAGTCTCCCTTATTGTGTGGGAGTCTAAGTTTCTTTGTAGGTCTCTAAGGACTTGCTTTATGAAGCTGGGTGCTCCTGTATTGGGTGTAAATGTATTTAGGATAGTTAGCTCTTCTTGTTGAATTGATCCCTTTAACATTATGTAATGGCCTTCTTTGTCTCTTCTGATGTTTGTTGGTTTCAAGTCTCTTTTATTAGAGACTAGGATTGCACCCCTGCTTTCCTTTTGTTTTCCATTTGCTTGGTAGATCTTCCTCCATCCCTTTGTTTTGAGCCTATGTGTGTCTCTGCACATGACATGGGTCTCCTGAATACAGCACACTGATGGGTCTTGACTCTATCCAATTTGCCAGTCTGTGTCTTTTAATTGGGGCATTTAGCCCATTTACATTTAAGGTTAATATTTTTATGTATGAATTTGATCCTGTCATTATGATGTTAGCTGGTTACTTTGCTCATTAGTTGATGCAGTTTCTTCCTAGCATCAATGGTCTTTACAATTTGGCATGTTTTTGCAGTGGCTGGTACCGGTTGTTCCTTTCCATGTTTAGTGCTTCCTTTAGTAGCTCTTGTAAGGCAGGCCTGGTGGTGACAAAATCTCTCAGCATTTGCTTGTCTGTAAAGGATTTTGTTTCTCCTTCACTTATAAAGCTTAGTTTGGCTGGATATGAAATTCTGGGTTGAAAATTCTTTTCTTTAAGAATGTTGAATATTGGTCCCCACTCTCTTCTGGCTTGTATAGTTTCTGCTGAAATACCCGCTGTTAGTCTGATGGGGCTTCCCTTTGTGGGTAACCCAACCTTTCTCTCTGGCTGCTCTTAACATTTTTTCCTTCATTTCAACCTTGGTGAATCTGACGATTATGTGTCTTGGGGTTGCTCTTCTCGAGGAGTATCTCTGTGGCGTTCTCTGTATTTCCTGAATTTGAATGTTGTCCTGCCTTGCTAGGTTGAGTAAGTTCTTCTGGATAAATTCCTGAAGAGTGTTTTCCAACTTGGTTCCATTCTCCCCGTCACTTTCAGGTACACCAATCAGACGTAGATTGGTCTTTTCACATAGTCTCATATTTCTTGGAGGCTTTGTTCATTTCTTTTAACTCTTTGTTCTCTAAACTTCTCTCCTCACTTCATTTCATTCATTTGATCTTCAATCACTGATACCCTTTCTTCCACTTGATCAAGTCAGCTGCTGAAGCTTGTGCATGCATCATGTTGTCGTGCCATGGTTTTCAGCTCCATCAGGTCATTTAAGGTCTTCGCTACACTGTTTATTCTAGTTAGCCAATCATCTAATCTTTTTTCAAGGTGTTTATCTTCTTTGCAATAGGTTTAAACACCCTCCTTTGTTATTACTAATCTTTTGAAGCCTACTTCTGTCAACTCATCAAAGTCATTTTCCATCCAGCTTTGTTCCATTGCTGGTGAGGAGCTACGCTCCTTTGGAGGAGAACAGGCACTCTGATTTTCAGAATTTTCAGCTTTTCTGCTCTGGTTTCTCCCCATCTTTGTGGTTTTATCTATCTTTGTTCTTTGATGATGGTGACCTATAGATGCGGTTTTGGTGTGGATGTCCTTTTTGTTGATGTTGATCCTATTCCTTTGTGTTTGTTAGTTTTCCTTCTACCAGTCAGGACCCTCAGTTGCAGATCTGTTGGAGTTTGCTGGAGGTCCACTCCAGACCCTATTTGCCTGGGTATCACCAGCAGAGGCTGCAGAACAGCAAATATTGCAGAACAGCAAATGTTGTTGCCTGATCCTTCCTCTGGAAGCTTCATCTCAGAGGGGCACCTGGCTGTATGAGGTGTCAGTTGGCCTCTACTGGGAGGTGTCTCCCAGTTAGGCTACTTGGGGGTCAGGGACCCACTTGAGGAGGCAGTCTTTCTGTTCTCAGATCTGAAACTCCACACTGGGAGAACCACTACTCTCTTCAAAGCTGTCAGACAGGGACATTTAAATCTGCAGAAGTTTCTGCTGCCTTTTTTTCAGCTGTGTCCTGTCCCCAAAGGTGGAGTCTACAGAGGCAGGCAGGCCTCCTTGAGCTGCAGTGGGCTCCACCCAGTTTGAGCTTCCCAGCCACTTTGTTTACCTAGTCCAGCCTCAGCAATGGCAGACACCCCTCCCCCAGCCTCACTGCTGCCTTGCAGTTCAATCTCGGACTGCTGTGCTAGCAGTGAGCAAGCCTCCGTGGGCATGGGACCCTCCAAGCCAGGCATGGGATATAATCTCCTAGTGTGCCACTTGCTAAAACCATTGGAAAAGCATAGTATTAGGGTGGGAGTGTCCCGATTTTCCAGGTACCACCTGTCATGGCTTCCCTTGGCTAGGAAAAGGAATTCCCCAACCCCTTGCACTTCCCAGGAGAGGTGATGCTCCAACCTGCTTTGACTCACACTCATGTGGGCTACACCCACTGTCTAACAAGTCCCAGTGAGATGAACCCAGTACCTCAGTTGGAAATGCAGAAATCACCCTTCTTCTGCGTCACTCACCCTAAGTGCTGTAGACTGGAGCTGTTCATATTTGGCCATCCCTTGCTAAATCTTAAACATTGACAGCAATTAAAGCCTCATATTCAGGCCCCGTAGAAGATGCCAATCAAAATAAACTTCATTGCTGAGACACAGGGCCAGAAATTAAAGCCATTCAGCTCCACAAGGCCCAGGGACTATCGTGGAAGAGTTGGGCATGTGAGATTGTGAGGGCTGATTTTAAGAGATAAAGTTAGTTCAGTTTCTCTACAAATTAACCATTAATGTCAAAGTCACACTGATGCAAGACTAGCATATGGGTAAAATTTGAAAAACAAATTTAATTGACTTCATGCTGTTTTTATTTGGGCTTACTGTTTGGAAAATTAAGTCTTCTCTCTCAAAGAATGAAGGTTTTCTCTTTTTTTGAAATCCCTATCAATTTGGTTAAATGAATGACTTACTTTACAATGGCCTGTAATCTCATTTTGTGATATCAAATGTTTTATTTATTTGTTTTTATTATTATTACTTTTTAAAATGGAGTCTTGCTGTGTTACCCAGGCTGGAGTGCAATGGCACGATCTCGGCTCACTGCAACCTCTGCCTCCTGGGTTCAAGTGATTCTCCTGCCTCAGCCTCCCAAGTAGCTGGGACTACAGATGTGCACCAACACACTCAGCTAATTTTTGTATTTTTAGTGGAGATGGGGTTTCACCATGTTGGCTAGGCTGGTCTCAAACTCCTGACCTCAGGAGACCCACCCACCTTGGCCTCCCCAAGTGCTGGGATTACAGGAATGAGCCACCATGCCTGGCCTGGTATCAAGTATTTTAAACCTTTGATATTTGACAAACTTTCCAAAATCAAATTATAAATTATGTCTTTTCTGACCTAATTAATCCTTTAAGATATTATTAATAGGATCCCTAAAGTCAAAAAATGATATGTTTGGCTTATTTGATATAGAAATTACACAGGAATCATTGTCAAATATGAAATGGTGTTTGGTTTTTCTTTGGGCTGTATTTGAATAAATATGTTACTGGTATGTGTTCCAAAATTATGGGAAACTCCTGTTATTCTGATATGACTCAGTGTATGTTATCTGTAATAACTATAATTGTTATGTTAAATTATTGTGTGACACAGAGGTAACAAATTTCCTTGTCAATTGTGTCTTTGACTATGGCTGCCCTTGTTGTCTTGTTTTGGTCCTCTTTAGAAGGTGGTTTATAATCAGCTATAAAACTGTAAGGTACTCTTGAATGCAGGTTTCTGATAACTTTGGAGATTGTGACATCAGAATAGAGGGAAAACTTTCAGGGCTCATGGAGAGCTGAAACGCTCCTGAATATCAAGCAGAATAGGAATTAACTGCATGGACTAAACTAATAGAAGTCTAAAGTAATCTTTTTAACTTTTTGCTTAAAACGTTGCTGATCCTTTGTTTTGTTTTTCAGAGTCAAAAAGACTTTTAAGCTATTTACAACTTTTAACAATTGAGTAAAGTATATTCCTTTGAACAAAATTTGGAGCATTTTGTTTCTCTTTACCTGATTTCTACATAATTTGGAAATGATTTGTAAGTATTCTTTTTTTTTCTTTTTTTTTTTTTTTGAGACAAAGTCTCACTCTGTTGCTCAGGCTGGAGTGCAATGACACGATCTCAGCTCACAGCAACCTTCACCTCTCAGGTTCAAGCAATTCTCCTGCCTCCGCCTCCCAAATAGCTGGGACTACAGGCACCCACCACCATGCCTGGCTAATTTTTATATTTTTTGGTAGAGATGGGGTTTCACCATATTGGCCAGGCTGGTCTCAAACTCCTGACCTTGTGATCCACCTGCCTCAGCCTCCCAAAGTGCTGGGATTACAGGCATGAGCCACCGTACCCGGTGTGTGAGTATTCTTAATTATGATAATAGTTATTTGCATAAGTACAATAAGAATCTGTTTTCATTTGTAACAGGACACAATTGGAGAAACTGGTTATTTTACCAAGGCTTTGACTGGAATGGTGTGCTTTCCTTTAAGGAATCAAACTTGACTTATGGAGCCAATATAAGCCCCTTGGAAAAACTGGCTTCATACCTTTGTCTGCACAGTCCCTGTATAGGGTTCCTGACCTGTGGTAAGTAAAGAATGTCACTTTCTGACAGGCTCAGGAGCCCCAAGTTTATCTTGGAACCTGAAGAGGAAAGGAATTCACCCAACTCATAGGTATTTAATGGTCCAAATCCACGGCGTGGCTCAGCTTTAAAAAATTCTTATGTGAGATTCCTTCTATGGAACAAAATTCCATGAAATCCAATTTAAAAGCCTATGTAAAAAATAATAATTATTCTTGCTACACTATATACAAAAAATCAATCCAAGTATAATAAAGCAAATCAGTCCTACCATGATTTGTCTTTTGTAAAAATGGAAAACTAGGCCAGACGCGGTGGCTCACGCCTATAATCCTAGCACTTTGGGAGCCTGAGACAGGTGGATCATGAGGTCAGGAGATCAAGACCATCTTGGCTAACACAGTGAAACCCCATCTCTACTAAAAAAAATACAAAAAATTAGCTGGGCGTGGTGGCGGGTGCCTGTAGTCCCAGCTACTCGGGAGGCTGAGGCAGGAGAATGGCATGAACCCAGGAGGCGGAGCTTGCAGTGAGCCGAGATTGTGCCACTGTACTTCAGCCTGGACGATAGAGCAAGACTCCATTCAACAAAAAGGAAAACTGGAGAGAAAAATTATGTTTCAAAACTTATAGTACACTTAGTATGGTTTGGCTGTGTCCCCATCCAAATCTCATTTTGAATTGTAGCTCCCATAATTCCCACATGTTGTGGGAGGGACCTGGTGGGAGATAATTGAATCATGGTGGGGGGGGCAGTTTCCCCCATACTGTTCTCGTGGTAGTGAATAAGTCGCATGATAGTTTTATAAGAGGAAACCCCTTTTGTTTGGTTCTCATTTTCTCTTGTCTGCTGCCATGTAGGACATGCCTTTTGCCTTCTGCCATGATTGTGAGGCTTCCCCAGCCACGTGAAACTGTGAGTTCATTAAACCTCTTTTTCTTTATAAATTACCCAGTCTTGGGTATGTTTTTATCAGCAGCATGAAAATTGACGAATACAACACCTGTTTTTAGGTTCTAGTCTTGCCTAATGTTTTTTCAGTTTTTATTATTTTCTACAGTTTGGACTGAATTCTAATTTTTCTTGGCTATAAGCCTGCAAAATAATGTTTTCAATCTTTTTCCTTCTTTTTTTCCCCATTTTTCCTAATTTGGAACCACCAAAAACTAAGTTGTGCTTTTGTAAAGCCCTGTGAACTGAAGCTAGACAACTAAATTTCAGAAGAAAATAACAGCAACCTGTTTACATACCTAAGCCACTTTCATACCTGCCTACTGATATGTGGACTTCATAGTAATGTGGCCTATATTGATTTCTCAGGATTGTTCTTTAGTCTGATGTTGTTTTTCTCCCTTGCTCCCCCTATTTTCTCTTCATAGGATATGAGACTTCACAACCTGCTGAAAATGAGCTTTCCTCATAACTCAGGACCTACGCGTCTAGGAATAAACCATCCTAAACATGAAAGATCAGACAAAATGTGAGACCAGAGACTCATTTACAGGATTTCAATACTTTGTTACCGGATATGGACTGGTATATGAAATGAAATAAATGGCCAGATAGGTGCTAAGAATTTAAATAGTTCACTTGTTATACCAAGATTGTTTCATGAGATACAAGCAATTCAAACCTGAATCCTGCATCTCTCTTCCAAGTTATCAGTCCAGAGAATGAACTCTTGTGAACAAAGGAAAGGGAGAAATGAAGCTTGGGATTGGGAGTAGATGTGTTAGAGGCTAAGAGGTGGAAATGCTGGCCTTCTATCCACTACGGGGACCTACCACCCAAAGAGCACACCATCGCAAGGTAAGATGACTTTCCTATGAAATCCATTCCCTCCTTGAGGCCTGTGGCCTGACATAGATCTGGGACAATCTGGGAGATACACTCTAGTTACTTAATGTTAAGGAAGATTAGGAAATGGAGCCCAAGGAAGTTAAGTCCAATCCTGGGATCACAGACTGGACTCAGCACACCTGATGCTTTCAGACATCACTTATAAATAGATACTCCCTTCTCTCACTCAGGCTTCAGACCCAGTGGAAAAACATACTCCCGATATCTGTATGTCCCTGATTTGTCTGCTTTTGTTGAGTCTTGAATCATGGGTAATATTAGGCATATATCCACTCCCTTTCTCTGCGTTCCCACAGGTCCCATCCATTCATTCAATAAATATTTTCTTAGCATGTACCTGCCACCTGCCAAGCATTGGTAAATTCCAGAGATATTGTACCTCTTCTAGGGCCTCGTATTCTCACCCACATTCACAAATAGAGACATGCAGACTTTATTGGAAAAAAATTAACTGGCTTCTACACAACGCTTTAAACTGAGGTGAATGGGACTGTCTTCACCTGGTAATCAGGGTAACTGGATTTCAGCCCAGAATCTTCCACCAACCAGCTGTGTGACCTCAGGCAAGTCACCTCTCTTTTCTGGCCTCATCTTTGCCTTCTGTAAAGTGAGACCCTTGGTCTAGGATGGGTGATCTCTAAGTTTCTTTCTCAATTTCCCATTTTGTAATTCTCATTCTTTAATAAAAATAGGCCCTGTATCTGTTGTAGGAAAAACTGAGATTATTATCTGGGGGAAATTGATAACCTAGATTTTTTTTCCTAGCAAACTGTAGGGTCTAGTATATTTTCTGAGCCACATCAGGAACTGTGTCCTGAGCTCAAGGAATGGTATAGTACAGGCCTCTTGGACCTTCACATATCCGAACTTCAGAGAAAGCTCCCGTTAAAAGCAATTAATACAGCATACCAAAGGGAGAGAAGAGAGGTGACAACTGTAGTGGTTTTTGCCCCGCCTTGATGAGATGGGAAGGGGAATCTAGCAGGTGGGGCAGACAACGCTGCCCTTGGGGCAGTTTGTGCTTCACAGTGTTGTGAAGTCCAACTAAGAGGGTTTTGTCAAGATTCTTTTTTCTGTGTGTTTAAACAGTTATACAACAATTGAATTAGTCTGCTCGCCTAGACTCCCTGCCATGAAAATCATCAAACAAGCCTGGAAGAATCCTACTGCGGGGCCTTTGCCAGCAGAGTGCTAGGATTTCTGGAAGCTGGGCATCTTCTCACACACAGTGGCCAGCGTTGGCTTTGGAGTTTCTTACCTTGTTTTCCCAGCACCTGAGGAGAACTTTGGCCCCAAAGAGACTGCCCAGGTCTGGGGCAATGCTATTTGACATTGTATCCTCGGTCATGGGAGTAAATATGCCCCCTTCAGGTGTGGCACAGACTTGAGTCTTATGCTGAGGTCAGGCCTCACAGCTGCCTCCCAGGGCTGCTGTCCCAGGTGGCCCCTTCCCACGCACCGGCCACCGTGGAGGGCTTAGCACGCACGTGTGTGTATGTGTGTGTGCGTGTGTGTATACGTTTGTGTCTTTGTGTCAGTATTTCTGTGAAGGAGGCAGTCCAAGGGACCAGCAGGAGGATTTGTAGCTGGTGTGTGTGTGTGTGTGTGTGTGTTTTGTATCAGTATGTCTGTGAAGGAGGCAGTCCAAGGGACCAGCAGGAGGATTTTATTATTACTGCCTAGAGACATCTGATGCAGGGGAGCCCTGGTTTCTTGTGGTTGATATACCTGGGTAAGGAAAAGGGAGCTGAGAAGGAATCGGAGAAAACTGAGCAAAAAGGATGAAGGCAGGAGGAAATAGCTGAAAGAAGACAGAAGAGCCCAGCTCAGACACAGGTGGTTAGCAGTTCCTCAGGGTTCCTGAGCAGTTCCTTTGGGGTCCAGGGTTTGTGAGGCTCTGCTGGACCACAGGCATCAGACACCCCTGAGGGAGGCAGCTCTGCACAAAGAGGATACAGTAGCTGGAGTAGCCAATTCATCCAGCCAGGAATCTTCTGGCCTCACAGCATCTAAAGGGAAAATGCAGAGAGAGCAAATCAGGATTCTTGATTATGGGACTCCCTGCGGAGGACAAGGCCCTAGCGAAAGTTGGACATCATCTAAGAGTTCTGGCTTCAAAACTCTGTATTGTGTGGTCTTTGTGCACCGTCTTGTGGAGTGAACAGTGACTCCTGAAGGCTTGCCCAGACCAGGATCATTTCCGTTGGGAGTATCATAGACCAAAGTCCATCCTCAAAATCTGGTCTCCACTCTCACAAAAGGAATGCATACAAATGTCATCCAACTGAAAGTCCTATTTCAGAAACCTTTTGTCCACTCTCCTTCTATTATTCTAGTAATGATTACAGTAGGCTAAACATTGTTTAAGTTTCAAAAGGCAGAAAACCAGAAAATTTTTTTAAAAAATTGTATTATATGAAGCAATGCTTGTAGAACAATCTATCGTCTATAAGCAGACTATTTTCCTTGTACTGATCAATAACTACTCCTTTATTAACTATCTTTTCTTTCCTGTCTCTTCAGTGAGTTCCACGCATACCTCACTCAGTCACACAACTGTTGACACAGTCACAAAACTGCAGTTTGCAGATGAGGCAACTGGAACTCAAAGAGGTTATGTAATTTGTGTAAGATTACACAGTGTGTAAGTGACAAAGTCCAGAGTCCAATTCAGGGCTACCAGTTTGCATGGTTTTCCACTGAACTTCACTGTTGGCAGAAAAGAGATGTATAAAAATATTATTTAGATAGCTCCTTCCACCCACACAGAATTTATTGCTACTAATTGAATGGGCTACTGAGTAATGTTATTAAAATATTATTTTAGGTGTGACATTTTGATAAGAATGTTTTCTTTTCTTTTTTTTTTTTTTTGAGACAGAGTCTTGCTGTGTCACCCAGGCTGGAGTGCAGTGGGGCAATCTTGGCTCACCATAGCCTCCGCCTCCCAGGTTCAAGCGATTCTCCTGCCTCAGCCTCTGCGGTACCCACCACCAAACCTGACTATGGTTTTGTTTTGTTTTGTTTTCTGAGACAAAGTCTTGCTCTTGTTGCCCAAGCTGGAGTGAAATGGTGTCATCTTGGCTGACTGCAACCTCCACCTTCCAGGTTCAAGCGATTCTCCTGCCTTAGCCTCCCAAGTAGCTGGGATTACAGGCACCCGGCTACCACCACGCCCAGCTAATTTTTACACTTTTAGTAGAGACAGGGTTTCACCACGTTAGCCAGGTTGGTCTCGAACTTCTGACCACAGGCAATCTGCCCGCCTTGGCCTCCCAAAGTGTTGGGATTATAGGTGTGAGCGCTAATTTGTATTTTTAGTAGAGACGGGATTTCACTGTGTTGGCCAGGCTGGTCTTGAACTCCTGACCTCAAGTCATTCACCCGCTTCAGCCTCCCAAAGTGCTAGATTAGAGGTGTGAGCCACCACATCCAGCCAATAGGGGGATTTCTTGAGTTACTTCTTGTGTGGTACAGTATAAACCATCTCCTCTCTTCCCTATGAAATTATTAGTAAATGTTACATTTATTACTAATACTTTGTGTTGGAGTAAATTTTTTTAGGGTGGGCAACTCAAAGACAGTGGTAGAAAACAACCAATTAACTGCATTGTAAATTTAAATGTTCTCATGGACTTTCAAAGGCAAAAGAAATCCACATCTTACACTGAAAGGTTAATACATTACCAGAATCTTGGAAAGCCCAATAAAAATACCTTCCACATCAGGCCAGCTCAGCTTTGCTGTTGTGGTAGAGAGAGAGGAGAGGAGGAGAAATGAGGCAGAACATTTCAAAGAAACATTCCCTGCCCTTGTGCTTACAGTCTTACCATATCCTAATGCCACTCCTATAGGTGTTTACTACCCCACCTTCTATTGTACAGTTAAGAGAAAATGAAGTCCAGACGAAGGCGACAATTTGACTACGTCTATATAAACTCCCAGTTTCCCAACTGCCCTGCTTTTTAGGCCCCATTGAATCAAATGATATGCCAACACTCAGTTCTACCGTTTATACTCCATGAAACACCCAGTTCTAAGCTGATGCCTCTTATGAAACTGACCAGTAGGGTTGGAGCACTATTTCTCATATCTCTACCTCTTTGCTGTAGTATGATTAGAACAGTCAAGTGGCAAATAAGGAAACTCCCAGTGTACTGCCACACTTATAAGTGAGTGGTTTTTTTTGTTTTTTTGTTTGTCTGTCTTTTTGAGATGGAGTCTCGCTCTGTTGCCCAGGCTGGAGTGCAGTGGCACGATCTCAGCTCACTGCAACGTCTGCTACCTGGGTTCAAGCAATTCTTCTGCCTCAGCCTCCCGAGTAGCTGGGACTACAGGTGCCCACCACCACGTCCAGCTAATTTTTGTATTTTTGGTAGAGACAGGGTTTCACCATATTGGCCAGGCTGGGAGTGACTGTTTTTTCTTTTCTTTTTTTTTTTTTTAAAGCCAAACATCTTTATGAAATTATCAAACTATCCTTTGCAGGCATTAAATTCTTCAGCTTTAGATTCTTCACCTTCCTTTTGCTTTGTCATATAATGACTTCACTTTCTCTTGACTCATATGAGTCTATAGGTATACCTTTCTTATAGCAACCCGGCACCCACATAAAAGCTGCATTTTCAAAATGAGATAAAAAGACAGTTTGCAAAAAGTATAAGGTTTTCACATCTGCTGGCATAGCTGCAGTGATGACTTCACAAATTTTCTTTTCTTTTTTTCTTTTTCTTTTCTTTTCTTTTTACAAAGGCCCTTATGCTGGAGTCATGTATCTAGAAATTGTGGGCAACTGCAGCTGCAGACCTCAATCTATGGTACATATCAAGCATTTCAGCTTTTTATTATAATGTCATGACTTTTACCTGCTTCTTGGGGCACTTTGAGCATCATTAGCGGCACTCTGCATGGGTCCCATGGTGTTATTCAAGGTTTATGGTATTGCAGTAAACATGATGAAAAAATATGTGAGAACTGTAAAACATCACTTTTCACTGCAATGTAAATTTACTGGAGAGGAACTGCTCACATGGAGATGATTAGTGGCATATGTATTCATATTTGCAACATATCCTAAAGACTCTTCAATATTTGTTGTAATTTTGTCTTTATTTCTTATTTGATACAGTTTTAAGAGTAATATATATATATATATTACTCATATATATGAGTATATATACTCTTAAAGTATACATATACACACTTTAAGTTCTGCAGAATGTGCAGGTTTGTTACATAGGTATACATGTGCCATGGTGGTTTGCTGCACCTATCAACCCGTCGTCTACATTAGGTATTTGTCCTAATGCTATCCCTTCCCTAGCCCTCCACCTGCCAACAGGCCCCAGTGTGTGATGTTCTCCTCCCTGTGTCCATGTGTTCTCATTGTTCAACTCCCACTTATGAGTGAGAACATGTGGTGGTTTTCTGTCCCTGTGTTAGTTTGCTGAGAATGATGGTTCCCAGCTTCATCCATGTCCCTGCAAAGGACATCAACTCATCCTTTTTTATGGCTGCATAGTATTCCATGGTGTATATGTGCCACATTTTCTTTATCCAGTCTATCACTGATGGGCATTTGGGTTGGTTCCAAGTCTACCGCTATTGTGAACAGTGCCACAATAAACATATGTGTGCATGTGTCTTCATAGTAGAATGATTTATAATCCTTTGGGTATATACCCAATAATGGGATTACTGGGTCAAATGGTATTTCTGGTTCTAGATCCTTGAGGAATCGCCACACTGTCTTCCACAATGGTTGAACTAATTTATACTCCCACCAAGAGTGTAAAAGTGTTCCTATTTCTCCACATCCTCTCCACCATCTGTAGTTTCCTGACTTTTTAATGATCGCCATTCTAACTGGTGTTGAGATGGTGTTTCATTGTGGTTTTGATTTGCATTTCTCTAATGACCAGTGATGACGAGGTTTTTTTCACGTTTGTTGGCTGGATAAATGTCTTCTTTTGAGAAGTGTCTGTTCATATCCTTTGCCCACTTTTTGATGGAGTTGTTTTTTTCTTGTAAATTTAAGTTCTTTGTAGATTCTGGATATTAGCCCTTTGTCAGATGGATAGATTGCAAAAATATTCTCCCATTCTGTAGGTTGCCTGTTCACTCTGATGATCGTTTCTTTTGTGGTGCAGAAGCTCTTTAGTTTGATTAGATCCCATTTGTCAATTTTGGCTTTTGTTGCCATTGCTTTTGGTATTTTAGACATGAAATCTTTGCCCATGCCTATACGTGAATGGTATTGCCTAGGTTTTCTTCTAGGGTTTTTATGGTTTTAGGTCTTACATTTAAGTCTTTAATCCATCCTAACTTAATTTTTGTATAAAGTGTAAGAAAGGGGTTTGTTTTCTGCATATGGCTAGCCAGTT